GGACGGGTGGCGACGTGAGGGCGATCTTCAGCTGGTCGAATGCAGCTTGCTGCTTCTCTCCCCACCAAAAACAGTCATGGTCCTTAAATTCAGTCAGTTAGCGGGGCAGATAACCCAGCCATGATCGGGATAAATCTGCGGACGTAGATGACGAAACCCAAAAAACACTGCAGCTCTTTGATGTTGCTCGACGGCTTCCACTCCTGGATGGTCTTGATTTTCTTTGGGTCGATTTTCACTCCTTCAGTAGAGACTATGTGGCCCAGAAACTCCAACTCTTACTTAAGAAAGTCGCACTTAGACCCTTTGGTGATGAGGCGATTCTTGTGCAGCAGCATGAAGACTGCATCAAGATCTGTTAAGTGCTGCTCCCTGCTGCAGCTGTAGATTAGTATATCGTCGAGGTAGATGATGACGCATTTGTCCAAGAGTTCCTTGAAAATTCCATTCATCGTCATTTGGAATGTCGAGGGCGCATTTTTGAGGCCAAACGACATCACCAGGTAATCGTAGCGGCCGTAGCGGGTTCAAAAAGCCGTTTTGTAACAATCTTCGGCGGCGACGCGAATCTGATGGTAACCCCCTCACAAGTCTATTTTCGAGAAGAACTTAGCGCCGCGAAGTTGGTCAAGAAGTTCGTCGGCTCGCGGGATCGGGTAACGCGACTTGATAGTGATCCGGTTGAGCGCACGGTAGTCGATGCACATTCTGAATCCGCCATCCTTCTCCGGCGTGAACAGTATCGGGGCGGCGTATGGGGACGTGCTTGGCCGGATAAATCCCTTCGTCAGAAGGTAATCCAGCTGCTGCTGCAATTCTTCGAGGTACGGTTGGCTGAGCCGAAATTGTCGCTGTACTGTCGGTTGGGCACCTGGTTCCAGCTCGATGCGATGGTCTTCTGGTCGGCTTGGCGGAAGTCCCGTTGGCAGGTCGTCTGGGAAAATCTTGGGGTAATTCCGAATCAGGTCAGCTAAGTCCGGAGGAACGGCTTCGCACAGCTTCGCGATATCTTCGGACATGGTCAACGATGTCACCTCGCGAAGATCAACGGCGTATGCTGCAGCTCCCGCTTTTCTCGTGCGCTTGAAAGTTATCGCGTGGACTTGGGTGCTTCGCATGCGGGGTCCTGCCTACTTTGGCAGCTCGCATGAAATCCCATCGAGCTTGATGCTGCAGCCGTCCGTCGTCCAGTCAATCTTCGGGTTGTACCGTCGCAACCAATCACGTCCCAGCAGCATGTCGCAATCGTCGAGAGTGGTCGCTAGTAGTCCCATCCGAAATTTTATGTGCTCCCCGCAGTTAAAACCGACGTTCTCCACTCGTTCTCGTATTGCTAGCGGTGTTCCGTCCACCAGTCGGGCGTCGATCTCAGGTAAACACTTGAGTAAGGGTATACCCTATTTTTTAGCCATGTCCAGTTGGATGAGACTGTGACTCGCGCCTCCATCAACAAAAATCTTCAATAACACTCAGTTGACTTTACCCTCCACCAACACAGGGTGATCAGCAGTTTCGTCCCCCTTATTCGCCCGGGTCCGGTCGATTGCATCAATTGGGATCACGACCCGGTGGGGACTGTGTGGCTCGGGCGAAGAAGCCTGCCCGTCAGTAAGGGGCCCGGTACTTACTGACGCGACCCATTTCCCGGTCGCTCCTCCGACTTCTTCCCCATAGAATTCTGGAGGGCTATGAATTCTTAGCAGTTGCGTCGGATGTGACCCGGCCGTCCACAGTGGTAGCATAGCCCCATATTTCGTGGAGCAACTGCGTAAATATCCACTGCGTCCACCCCTTTTATCGTGGCACGCTGGTACTGTTCTCCAGGGAGACCTCCGTCGTAGAAGTTGGTCCTCTGCTTCGTGAGCAAATCGGCGGCTTCGGCGAGCTGGATAAAGTCTTGTAACCGCTTCGCAGGGCGTTGCAGTTTTATCTAGTGTTGTATTTCAGGCTTCAAACCGCCCATGTACCTGTCGACCTTCTCCAACTCGTGCATGTAGCCACATCTGTCCACCAATGTCAGGAATGACGCGGTGTACTCGGACACAGATCCCAGCTCCTTCCACATGCATAGAGTTTCGCGTGCCTTGTCTGAGTCAGGTGCATGCTCAAACTGTTTGCGAAGCTCTGCGTACCACATTGCCCACATGCAAATATGGGTTGCACCAAACAACAAGTCTGCCTCGTCTTCGTCGCCGAATTCTTCGGACCACTCGTGCTGTCCTTCTGTGCGAGTTGCCGCTGAGTCGACGATGACCTTCCACCACTGTAGGGCAGCACCTTGCAACAGTGTTAACGGGTGGCTGATCCGCTTCTGATCGTCTCGGATGCCCGCCGCGTTAAAATAGATATTCACGGCGAATATCCATTGCCGCACCGTCACGCCTTTATTAGCTGGGTCGAAAGGAGCGGGTTGCTGATATCTTACGCCGCCAGTTGTCGAGCACGGGGCTGTTGCCGCTAGTCGTGCCATCTCCACTGGCGATGGTTGCTGCTCACCCGCCTCACTTCGTGCATCGTCGCCCGGCTCCTCTGAACACCTCTCTTGCGCCTGGCGAAGTCGTTGGTTCTCGTCGCGGAGGTTGTTGACGATGCTTGTCAAATTATTCAACCGCTCCATTAATGCTTGCAGGTCCACAGTTTCTCGGGCAGGGTTCGCAGCAGTCGAGGTGGACTGTTCCTCTACTGTCGAATCTACCGGGGCCATGGCGGTCAGGACAGGGCAGAAGCTAGCCCACACGCTGTAGTTGCTGGCGTAAAAATATTTACGACCCAAGGCAACTGTTGTGCAGCCATGCTAATCCCCTCTGACCACCCTTAAATAAGTAGCCTGAGAAACGGAAGGTTCCGAGAAAGGTCGGGCTCTGATACCAGCTATTATGATTTAGAAGATGTCAATGAAATATAACGTGAGAATACAAGGTCGCTATTGCAATGAAGGCACGAGGTTATATAGGGGTTGGCGTGCTAGGGCGATAACCTCGGAACGTGGATAGGTTCGGCAATGTGGCGACAGTGCTGGACGCGGCTCGGGAAAACGTTGGGCCGACAATTGAGGCCGAACATGACGAGTTGAGGAGTTCGGATGTACGCGGTAGCGGGCGACTCAGTAAGGAATGGAAATTCCTTACACCGGACTTGCGTATACTGTTATGATTTAGAAGATGTCAATGAAATACAACGGGAGAATACAAGGTCGCTATTGCAATGAAGGCACGAGGTTATGTAGGGGTTAGGAACATCCACAGGAGGGAGAGCGGGGTGGGGAGAGCAGAGAGCGAACCCACTTGGCACTTGGTGGAGACAGCAGAGGGCGAACCCACCTGTTGCAGCACTCGCATCTTTTCCTCCAACCCAAAACAGCAATACGCATGAACAGTAGCCAGCCGCCCCAGCTGCCGCCCAATCTTGCAGAAACCGCCAAAGCGGTTTGTCGGCAGGTAGTGGATGGAGAGATGGAGACATTCACGGGTGTAGAGGTCTGCTTCGGGCTGCACTCGCATGAAAGCATCCTGATCATGGATGCCGGGGAAGCTATTAAGTGTTGGAGAGAGGGGGGAGGGAGGGGGGGGGGGGGGGGGGGGTGAGGAGGGAAAGGGCAGAAGGAGGGGGGGGGGTTTTTTGTGGGTGAGTGGGGGAGGGGATACTGCAGGGGTCCCACTTGCATGAATGCATCCTGTCGTGACTGCCTGGAAAATGGAAAGTTGGGGTCGGGGGGTAGAGGGGGGGAGGGGAGGGGAAGGGGGGGGGGAGGGGGACTAGGATTAGAAGGTGTCTCAAGTGTGGATGTACGCATTCTCAAGAAGGTTGCCTGAGAGTGGATGCTGGGGAATCTAGGTAAGGGAGGTAGCATAGGTGGTGCAAGGTTGTGGGGGAGGGAGGGAGGGGGGAAACAGTGGTTACACCAAGGGAAGAAGAGGGTCACAAGTGTAGGGATCTTCATCGGGCCGGACCCCAGATGAGTGCGTCTTAATCGTGGATGCCGGGGAATCTATTGGGGGGGAGGGAAAGGAAGGAGGGAAGGTTTGGGGGAGGATGGTATATGGGAGAATGGAGCATTTTGAGTGTAGGGGTCTGCTTTGGGTCGCACCAATGCCCGGTGCAGGAGGTAAGAGAGGGAGGATGATGCAGGAGGAAGGGGGGAAAGGAAGAGTGTGGGAGATACAGGGGGCGGGTGGGGGGAAAGGAAGAGGGACAGACTGACCGTTTGTGAGCATCCATCCGGTAGTCAAAGAAGCGCAGCACACGAGCATTGCTCCGAGCCAGGTGGAAGCCCCTTTGAATATCATGGCACATCAGAGCTTACCGTTTGTCAGCGTCCATCCAGTAGTCAAAGAAGCGCAGCACATGGGCATTGCTCCGAGCCAGGTAGAAGCCCCCATTGGCGGCTGCCGCCTTGGGGTCCGCCGACCAGCGATCGCACGCTATCTGGATGTCAGCTGAGACAGGCAGCAGGTGGGGCAGGGGGTTCTGCTGGCGGGGAGGGAAGGGCGAACAGCAAGGGGGAGTTAAGTCTTTTAGAATTCTCAAAAACCTAACTCAGGGAGCAGGTGGGGCAAGGGATTCTGGTGGCAGGGAGGGAAGGGGGAACAGCAAGGGGGAAGACCGCAGGAGAAGGAGAAGGGGAGAGAGGGACAACCGACCACAGGTCACAGGCTGTCTGGATGTTGGCTGAGACAAGCCACAACTGCAGCAGGGGGTTGTGGTGGTGGGAGGGAGAGTGACAGAAGGGAATTTGAATGCGGAATGGTGTGGGCGCCATACTGGGAAGATGCAGGCACAGCATGGGCACTTCCTAGCCGATTCACAAGTCACCATGGTACACACTGAGGTGCGAACCGAGTACAAACCGAGGTATATATAAACAGTCTGGCCACAGCATAGAGCATTATTTTCATGAAGCAGTTTGGAGCTATAGCATGTATCCCCCTGTTTCGTTTCCCTTGCAGCAATACATGTGGGGCTCTGATCTTTCCACTACACGCTGACGTCACTCCACCCACCTGCAGCCACATGACGTCATTGTCTGTGAAGATCACATCAAATCCAAAAGATATGATCCTCCTGATTATGTGTAGCCGCCGCCACATCTGGGATTGAGATATGGGAGGGGAAGGAGGAGCAAAAGTGAGTCTGCAGGGGAAGGGGAGAGGAGAGAATAGAATAGGAAAAGAGGGGAGGAGAGGTGAGGACAGGGGAGAGGAGGGGAGAAAAGTGTGGTCAAGAGAAGTCCATCCTCTCCATGGTGAAGGAGGGGTGCACGCCCATCCTCAAGAGTGGTAAGAAGTTGATTGTTTGATCAGCTTAGACCAAAAATGGAGAGCCTTGAGAAGAATAGAAGGGTCAAACAAGAACTTGATGCTTCATTCCGTTATATCAATGCCTCTCTGGATTGGAGAAAAGCTGGGTGTAGTTGGGCAGGAGGGGAAACGTCGATCACCAAGTGAAGATAGGAGGGGGTCATGAATCCCTTCTGCCCGCCACTGAAGTCGTCCCTCTCACTCTCTGGTGCATCTTCCTGGGCAGGTGAAAGAGCAGCCAGGACAAAAATAGCAAAGGCATTATCCGTAAGTATCAGCTGAATTGCTAGCATTTTTCTGGATCAGAACCTTTAGTTAGCAAAACTTCAGACTGGATTCAATCTACAGAACTGCAGAACTGCAGGCAAACGTGTCATTGGTCCCAACGCACCTGGGTGTCAAGGAAGCCTATTGCAAAGCAGCAGAAGGAGAGGCTGACCTTATTGACTCACCTGCGTGTCGAGGAAGCAGTGCAGGCAGAGCGAGCAGCAGAAGGCAAGGCTGCAATGATCGTAGCACAGCACCAGTAGGCGCGGCACCAGCACGCCTGGCCCTGGCAGTGGGGTGCCATGGTCGGTGGCAGGCACAGCAGCAGACTCAGAAATTTCTACAGCAGCTGATGCAGGCGAGAATGCAGCGGCTGCATGTTGCTTGCTATTCTTCTCCTGCTCCTCTCTGTCGTCCAGCAGTCTCATCCGCGTTAGAAACATCTTCATCATGGGTATCCATGCCTCTGACAGCACAGTCACTATCACCACGCCACGCCCTGCCTCCCCTCCCTCTGCTACTGCCTCGCCGACACGTCCACTCCCTGCCACACTTCTTCCTCTTAGACTGCTGATGCCAGCATCCTCAGCACCGCTCCTTGCACTTCTGCTCTCCATGGTTCTCTCTGGGCTTCCTCCCATGCTGCTCTCTCCAGCACTCCCTGAAACGCTCTCTGAAACGTTCTCTGAAACGCTCTCTGAAACGCTGTCAGTAACGCTGTCAGTAACGCTGTCAGTAACGCTGTCAGTAACGCTGTCAGTAATGCTGTCAGTAACGCTGTCAGTAACGCTGTCAGTAACACTGTCAGTAACACTGTCAGTAACGCTGACAGTAACGCTGTCAGTAACGCCACTGCTGGACAGATTGCTGCCCGTGCTGCTGCTGCTTGCATCAGCTGCACTCTCTGCTGCGTCAGACGCTGCTTGCGTGCTTACCATTGGAGGGGGCATTCCTGCTGACGTGGCCAGGTCTCTCAGAACCGCTTCCCACTCCACCAAAACCTACACACCCGCTTCCAACCTCAGCCTTTGCGATCATCACAAATGCGAAGCCATTGATACCGACCGTGCCAGACTGGGGGGTAAGGGAGAAGGTGAAGTTGACACTGAATGCCAGCTCCACACCACAGCCCAGGCTCGGACCAGCCGGGTATGCAAACATGGTCACCGGCTTTGCCACGAATTTCCCTGTTGTCTCCTTCTGCATCCCGTTGGTGAGCACAGTGTTTAAGGGGAGAATAGGCCCACTGACGCATTGGCTCCATCCTGAATAGATGCGATGGGTGGCAGTGCAGCATGGGGAGGAATGGTGGTGGAGCAATGGTGTCTGGCTGAACTGGCTGAACTAGATCATGTGGTCGGCTCTTTGAGAGTGGCATGCATGCATAGTTCAGGTAAACACATGTGCATGCATCGTGCATTGGTCAAGTTTCCAGGTTCTGAGTAGCATCAAGCAATAGCTTCTCCAGTACAAGCAAGAAATTCTTGTCAAAGGCCACCTGTGAACTTCAAGCGATCAGGATCACGCAAACATGGCAAGCTGAGTGCGACTTGCCAAACTTCTGCCCTAGGCCACCTGTGCCTAGGTCACCTGTGCCTAGGTCATTAGATAGTTTCCAGCATTTCCATGAACATGTCTAGATTGTCGTCATTCTCCCTCTGGACTAACATTCACCTGCAAATGAGGGAGGACATTCATGTGGCAATGCGACCTCTCTAGTGACATACATGGCAGGTGGGTGGAACCACCCGCACCTGACAGGGTCACGGCAGGGGGATAAACCTGTCGCAAATGAAACGGTGACCTGAAGGCTTGTATCAACACATGATTGTCGTGGGTGGCCTAAATGCAATATGGTCAATATTAGGGCGAATTCCTAGCAAGAAATATCAGAATTGGAAACGCGCGTAACCAAAATGAACTGCACTAAAATGCAATTCAAACCCTGGCACCACGCAGCACCGCATGTTTCTGATCCAACTTCTTTCTTATCCCAGCTCATAGGAATTCGCCCTTATCCCACCCCTCCCCCCTCTAAAGCAAGGCACCCCTGAAGGCCCCAATGCGTGCATTTTTGGGGGAGAACCGTACTGTACCACATCAAACAATACTACAACATAGACTGCTGAACCCAAGTTTTTATGGAGGCAAGCTGAAATAATTACGGGACACAAATATACTTGGATCCTATCTTTCCGGAGCAAGATTTGGAATTATAGTCATTGAACACAGCAACTGCTGTAGATGTAGCTCAACCGTAGTAACGGTACGCAGCTGAACATGCCATCGATGGCGAGACTGGCTTGACCCTACCCTTTTTGCACATGCCTACTTTGAATGGCCAGTACTCTGCTTTGAGGCAAACCTGTGATGGAAAGATGCACGTGAAACACGGCGTGCATGGAAAGCTTAGGGCATAGGAGAAACCACACTCAACACAAAATGCAGAACAGGGGAAAAGGCGATGCGGACAGAAGTCTTGCGGACATTGTGCAAGGAAATGATAGCTAGCATGCCAGTGTCTCCTGCTGGTGTTTCAGATGGCACATGAGCTTTGATGCCCTACGAAGTACCCATGTACCCACAACTACCTTTGTTTACCTCCCTTGCTTATCAACGCAGGGGGCCCTTCCCTTCCCAAGGAAAATCCCTGCCCCACAGCCCTCACCTCCACGCCAATGTTGCTGCCGACAGCAGTGGCAGAGGGGGGGATGTTGGGGGAGCAGGTGAGGCCGGGGTTGTTGCGGTACAGCTCAGCCCTGGTGGTCCTCTGAAGCAGCCACTCGCACGTGTCTTGAGGCGTCAGCACACCATGATCCACACACTCGGGAACGGTGTAGGCGAAGGTGGCATTGCGCTCTACGCACACCGAGTGGCCCGCCTTGATGGGCATCGTGCAGTCAAGGCCGGGGTTGAGAGCGGTGAGACTGCCCTGGGAAAAGTTCAGCTGCTTGCAGATAGATGCACAGGTGTCTCGCTGGAGGGAGGGGTGAACGAGGGGTGAACGGAGGGGAGTGGGAGCTTGTTGCTGGCTCACTGAGGTGACTTCTAAGTTGACTTGGAGTTCACCTCGGCACCGGGGAGTAGCTTGTTTCTTGCTCAACTCACAGATCTGACTTGCTAGCTTGGTTGATTGCAGGAGTGGTGCAAGAGGGGATTGTATTTCAAATTGAGGGTGTAAAAGAAGGGAATGCAGGGTGACTAACATTGAGATGGGAGGGTTTGAATGTCTCACATTGAGGGTGTAGAAGAAGGCAGTGCAGGGTGTGGGAGGGGTGCCATCCAGCTGAAGAACAATCTCCTTGGGCAACGGTTGGTTGCAATCTATGTCCTGCATTGCGAAACATAAGAATGGATAAAAGGTGGTGTGAACTAAAGAATCTCAACATACTCCACACATGAGCAAGGGCTGAGTTGGTCTTTGAGAATTCTCAAAAGGAGAGCAACAGCTGGGCTGGTTGGTTCTCCTCGCATTGTCCTGGAGAGTAAAGTTTTCACAGTTTACTATCCAATACGGAGTACAGGTAGTTCTCCTGCAAAAGATGGTGAGCTGACAGTGTCCCTGCTATAAGTGTCTCTGCTATAATGGGAGAGTGATACAAATCAGGTCCAACGCAGAGCTCATACAATATCGAACTGATAGTCAGAATCTAACTGACGTTCAGCTGACTGCATCACATGATGCGCGAATCCATCCAGCAAATGAGACTGATTTTGGGTCGATTCGAAGGAATTTCACCGAAGTCCTACCATGTTTTGAAGGATGAAAGAGTCAATTGAAAGGCCAATTATTGTGTAGACATCCGAGCACCACCAGTTCTCTCCGCTGACGGTCATGGTGGTGGCTGTGGTATTGACTGAAGACGCCACAGGGAGTGAGAGAGAGGCGTGGGGGAACAAGAAGGGAGGGGAGCAAGTGCAGGGAGAGGGGACAGTTAGATTTCTGCTTTTGAGTAGCTTAGACTCAAAAGCAGCTAAGGTAGAGGGGACCGCTAGAGAATCTGTTGAGAGGGCCGGTCGATTTGCAGCAGTCTTTTACCTCCACCAGACCCCACCTGATGCGTTGCTGGAAGGGATAGTGCAAGGAGGAGCGTTTTGGGTTGACTCAAAACTCAACTTATTACCTCTCCACCACACCCCATCTCATGCGTTGGTGCTATGATTTGTTTGTCGAGACGCAGCCTTAACATGAGGAAGATTCCAAGAATGATAAACTGACATATCCACAGCCACTGACACACGTTAAAGTAAGGATATTTTGGTATTCTAAAAAATATCTCACTATGTGCATTCTGAGAGTTCTCAAAGTAGGATCACCTGGATCGCAGGTGGGGGGGTCATAAACAGTTTTGCTTTCAATGTAGTTGGGAGGGCAGACGCAGGAGTAGGAGCCCCGGCCATCATTGATGCATGTGCCCACGTAGCAGGGGTTCTTGAAGTACGACCCGCACACATCCACTGCCACAATGGTGGCCAGGGTGGTGGGTAGAACATGTTGATTGGAGACAGTGGGGAAAATCGATGTGGGAGAGGGGCATGGGAGCAAGAGATTCATGGGAACAGGAGGACATGTGAGCAGCTTGCAATTCTGAAGTGATAGATTCTACACAGTGCAGCAAAGCAAAGAGGAAGGGGAAAAATAATGCGCAACAACAGTCACATTACAATGGCTTAAAACACCAATTACGATGTGGGCCAGGGGCGAGTGACTCGCTAATGCCCCCCCATGGCCCCCCCTTGAATCGGCTCAAAAGTCGTGGTGTGGGCCAGGGACGAGTGACTCGTCAATTGCCACAAACCGTGGCATTCCTCCTCCTATCCCTCCTTGCTGAAGCCAAGGCCAAGTGGAGATAATAAACTTGATGCCAAGGCTCCCTCACTCCACTGGCGCTCAAACTCAGGATGCTGTGGCCAGCAGTAGTCTGGCCACAAGGCTGTTAAAAGCCACAAATCCCCAGGCTAGGGAGGATCCGACCAGCCAGAGTGGCATGCAAATCAACCAGCCAGAGAGATTACCATAAGCACATGTGTTGGAGCCGACACCATTCCCCGCCTCAACAAAAGGCTGCGTGGTAGCTTCAGGAGTGGTGCAGTTGCAGCGGTTGTTGCCCTCCGCAGTGGGGTGGCAGGAGAACCATCCGCATGGGTTCATGCTGGGCTCCTTCTCCTGATGAACCTGGTAGCTGAGTCGGCCGCATGGGTCCCCTGGAACTGAAAGGTGTGTGAGAGGAAAGTTCGAGAGGATGCACAGGAAGGAAACACATGAAGGTGGAAGCTGGAAGGACGTGGCGCACGGATAAGTGTGAAGGAAAGAGAGTACACAGCTCATGTCACAGCAGCAAAGCGTCACTCAGTGATTTTGTGCATAGATGCCTCGCTCCTGAAAATGGGGTAGATGCCTCACTTTTGTCAATGGGGTAGATGCCTCAATCTTGACAATCAGGGGGTTAGATGCCTCACTCTCTACAATGAAGCAGATGCCCCCCAATTTTCAATAGGGTCAATGCCTCTCTCTTGACAATGGGGTAGATGCCTCACTCTTGACAATGGGGCAGATGCCTCATTCTTGACAATGGCGGGGTAGATGCCTCACTCTCGACAATGGGGTAGATGCGTTGCTCTTCACAATGGGGTAGATGCCTCACTATTTGGCATCACTCTTGACAATGGGGTAGATGCCTCACTATTTGGCATCACTCTTGACAATGGGGTAGATGCCTCACTGTTTCGCATCACTCTTGACAATGGGGTAGATGCCTCACTATTTGGCATCACTCTTGACAATGGGGTAGATGCGTCGCTCTTCACAATGGGGTAGATGCCTCACTATTTGGCATCACTCTTGACAATGGGGTAGATGTCTCACTATTTGGCATCACTCTTGACAATGGGGTAGATGCCTCACTATCTGGCATCACTTTTAACAATGGGGTAGATGCCTCACTATTTGGCATCACTCTTGACAATGGGGTAGATGCCTCACTCTTGACAATCGGGTAAAAGCCTCACTCTTGACAATGGGAGAGGGAGATGCCTCACTCTTTACAATGGGGTAGATTCATCACTCGTTACAATGTAATAGATTCCTCACTCTTGACGATGGGGTAGATGCCAGGCAATACGTTGATGCCGCACACGCCATCCCCTCCCTGGATGTCCATGGGCATATGGCCCTTGTCGCCCCAAAACTTTCCCCACGAGTTGCGCATGATCCAAAACGGAGGAGCGATGCGATTCTGGCTACCGTCGTCTCCTCTCATGCAGTAGCCAACAACGAGTACAACGTGGTTCAGGTTGCCAGTGTAGCAGTCACCGTCCTGGTACTTATACGTCTGAGGAAAAGGAGGACAGCACATCCATCACAACAGAGAGCCCACTTAGTGTAGTCACCTTTGAGAGCATTGCATTCCTAAATGAAGTTGAAAAACGAATGGAGCTGTAACTCAACCACAATGATGGCAGTTGTCAATCTGTGGGCCATCTATTTGAATCCCATTCATGTCAATGCCAGTTATTTTATGTATCTCTGTGTTGCCCCTTTAGACGAGGACCACGAGTCAGCATAACGGGTGAGTGCTGCAATGACTCACCCCATCATATTCAACAAGCGTTGCAGCAGAAGCCTCGATGTGAACCACCACCGGCTGCCGCTGCACTGCCAGCATGAGCCCCACATACCCCTTGAACCGTGTGCTCTCAAATGCATACACTGGAAAACTTGAAGCCTAGGACCACAAGAATGCATGATTGTTGGAAGGGGGGAGGGGGGAAAGGGAAGGGAGGTAGGGAGGACGGGTGGAGGAAGTTTGGGCGAGTTACGAAAGAAGGAAGAATCAAGCAAGGGTACAATCACCATGTCAAATCCATCCGGAGAAGAAAAAATGCTTTGCTACAAGGAAAGTAATGAGTGGAAAAATATCCTACAGCCAAGAGGGATGGCTCAAAGTGGCTCATTTTGGGAATTGAAACTCAGACCACTCTGGTACCAAGTTCAAACTCCAATGATAATTTAATATGCTAAAGGGGTGTAATGGTTGGAGGCTCAGTGCACCGGCGCCCTTCTACGATCGCTTGGGACACCCCAGTGGACCAGTACAGCAACATTGGAAGGGCAATCCAACAGCAAATACTGTGGAAGTAGTTCAGATTACATCAATGCATGCACCTTGCCTCACCTCACTTACCACATTTTGTCTGCCCTACCGGATCATTGTCCCCTGTGAGCCCACTGCTGCCATCAAGAGTAATCAGCTTCTCAAATGCCTCGGTGGGGGAGCCTCCAGCCGTGCACTTGTCTGTGTCGCTTAGCCCCATGGCTGCAAAGAGTGGCTCCACTGACAGCTGGGGAGCGCGTTCCTGCGTTGCAATGCCGTATGTTGCTTCTACACTTGCCACCACCGCATATGCCCAGCAGGCAGCTTGGAAGGAGAAGACAAGCAACGCGAAGCATAGAAATCAGAGAGGAGATATTTTGGACGAAGAGTTTGCTGCGCCGCTCAACACTGCACATGTAGAAAGAAACCGTGGACTCCCTTAACAATAATCCCAGAACCAGCTGGCCTTGAACATGCAATGTGACGCTCAAACCACACGATCACAAAACAACGCAGAGCGGAAACGCGATGTGACCTTGAACGGTGTAACAGAATGAAACGCGGCCCAAAACCTGAACTGAAACGGATTCTTGCAACTCACTGCAATTGTCCTGGTCCTTGACGGGCCATTCGAGGAAGGGCACCCCATCCCAGGTGAACTTGTCATGGATGAGCCACGAGTCCTCGTTGGAGGGCAGCCAGCTGTAACCCGTGCCCACATATCGCGAGAAGGGGTTGGCTCCAGAAGGTGCAAACGTGGCCACCGATAATGAGAGTCAACGGGCTATGAGGGGCGGCAAGGGGTGTAGACGAAACGAGGGATGTGAATGGGCTGGGGGGTTGTGGGAGAGAGGCAGTTGAGAAGCATGTATGGCATGGGAAGAAGAGATCTGTTTTGGAAGATGTTATTCAACATGTCTATTTCTGCACAAGAAAGGGCATACTTTAGAACGCCTCACCGATTGTGGCGTGAAAGTCTCTCACCCTTAGGTTTCCCAGCGGGACGTAAAATCCATCTAACTGGTTTGACGGCAATAATCTCAATTATTGGTTGCCACTTGGCAAAGCGCTCACCTCCTATGATCTTGACTGGCTTGGGTGGGGGAGGAATGCCTGCAAGGAGGAGACACACACAAAGTAAGGCTCGCAACATGAAGGTTGAGTCGTTAGGAAAGGAGGGAAGCACAAGCCATCAAGATCATTGCTTGGCAGAGAAACAAGTTCCAGAAGTAGTTGCAACAGCAGTATCGATGGTGCCCACACCTTCGTGGTTACCACTACTGCAAACAGAGCAGTATAATAAGCCATCGTCTTCAGTGCCATGACTATTGCAACACTATACCAATACCACTTCAACTTACATGCCATCACCATCACCCCCATTACCATACCCATCACCATCATTCAGGCAGTCCTCGTCATCTTCGCCATCCCCATCACCCCACTCGGCATATCCTTGCCTGTTTGCATGTCAGAGTTGAGAATGACATGCTTCTGGAACGGCTTCACAGTGGTGGATGCCATGAAGCCAAAGAAGAATGCCTGCTGCTGCACACCAGCCTGCAGCACGTCACAGAGTGCCAGCTCCTTCTTCAGCAGCGGCAGCACTGGCTTCACCGTCGAATCAGCCAGGAACACCTGAAGGGTCCCAGGCTTCCCACGCTCATATTCCACCCATGCCGTGTAAGCCCTACTGTCGGTCAGTGTGAATGGCAAATCTTTTGCGTCCAAGGATTTATCCATGCCATTTATGTTGAGCCCCACATGCTGCTTCTCCATGTCACCATGCTTGTCATTTCGAAGCGTGTCGAATTCAATGGCTATGCTCCGAGTTCCAACTCCAGCATACCCTACACCATCGGGTTTTCCCACCTTGGCCTTTGCCAGGATCACGAACGCAAAGCCGTTGGAGCCGACAGTGCCCGACTGGGGAATGAGAAAGAAGGTGAAGCTGGCATTGAAGGCCAACTCAATGCCGCATCCCGGGATCGAACCACCCGGGTATGCAAATAGGGTCACAGGCTTTGCCACGAACCTCCCCATTGTCTCCCTCCGCGTCCCCTGGGTGAGTGTTGTCCCTGGGAGGAGAATATGCCTGTTGATTGGGAGGCTTCGATCCCAGCCTGAAGAAAAGTGATGGATGGCAGCAGAGCATGAGGAAGGGTGGGAGTGGTGTGGAAATGGTGCAGAAAGGTAGCTGAACAAAACATGTGGCCAACTCTTTAAGGGTGGTGTTTCGTCGATCAGGACTATAATTGGTCAATGATCAAAATGTATGTGTAGCAAAACTATAACGAAGCACACCGAAAACTACAGAAGGAAGTAGGCCACGAAAAGGGCTTTTGCGATAAGGCTTCCGTCTGTGCATCTAGTAGTATTCTGTGTGTAATTCCATGACACAGAAAGCTCAGCTCTTTCCGTTGAGCTGAGTAAATCCAGCAGAGATGTGGGTGGTGTAATGTGTGGTGGTGAGCTGGAATGGAAAGGCTTGCAATGGAAATGTCAAGAAGAAAGCAGAGATAGTGAACTACGGGTGAATGTGCATGAGGCAAGGCACATACAAAGTGAGGTCGATATGGGCAGTGCATGTATAGTGTTTAGGGTTCACACAGTGCACCGATGCCTTATTTATTCTCCATTACCATTGGCAACACATTTGAGTCTTCCAAAGGACACGAATCCTTGTTTGCACAAGCACGTTGGCCACCAGAGTCTGCCGACTCCTCGACTAGGGCAACCGGCGGGAGGGGAGTGACGTGAGACACACCAGACGGAGCAGGATGGGGAGGGAGGGGAGCAGAGGCGATCGGGGGAGTGGAAACCAAGAGACCTCGGTGAGGAAAGCGGTGGTGAAAAGAGACAGACTTGTCGAAAGTGGCGTCACGGGAGTGAAAGAAGAGGTGAGACGGTGGGTGGTAGATTTTCCAATCAGACGAGTCAAGGGGGAAACCGAGGAAGACACAGTGGCTAAGCGGTCAGGCAGGCGCATGGCGATGAGGTACAGGGTAGCGCAGAAGGGTGGGGGTAAGGCAGTGTGCTGGGTGGCAGAGCTAGCAGCGCTGTAGCTGGTCTCTAGTGCACGGAGGTGAGTGGCGAGATCAGCTACAGTGGGGAAAGCAAGAGGATCTGGGAAGAGCATGGGTAGGATCAAGCGGCCAGCAAAGGCGGAAGTAGGGGTATAGTAACGCTCAACTACTGCAGCGAGAAAGTTCTTGGCATTCGCAACAGCGGTGAAGCGCGGACGCTCAGACAGGGGAAGGGCATGGCTAGTGGCAAGCTGCGCTACTGCATCGCGAGAATCCCAAACAGCTCGAGCAAGCGCAACAGCAGCAGCAAAAGCCTTGCTCTCAGCAATGGTAGGGTCAGCAGGGAGGGGATCAGGCGCGGGGGGGGCGGGGGAGCAAACCATCAACATGTATAGCTAGGGAGTGCCCATCCTAGCGCTGACCTGTCAGGTGCCAGCGGAGATCGACGAGCCAAGCGAAGAACGGCGTCTGCCATCGCACAGTTTGACAGCGGCACAGCGGCTCAGCGGCACAGCGACACGGCGGCTCGGCGACTCGGCGACACGGCGGCTCGGCGGCTCTTGCGACAAGGCTGGCTAGGACGTGCGGGGTCGGCAAGGGCGCGTGGGGCCGGCTAGGGGCGCGAGGAGCCACTGCCTCCTGCATGCCCGCATGCCCTCATGCCCTAATCGCGACTTCCCAATCACTCTCTAGAATTGAGCCGTCTCAAAACTAACCGACTTGACCACTGCCACGTGCAAGCCCTCATGCCCTCATGACCTCGCTTGTCTCATCTGCGGGGATCCCCTCCTCCTTCACGCTACACCAGGAGTAATTCTCCTGCCCCGTCCCATCTCCCTCACGCCGCAGCCTCGCTGCGGTGGGGCTATTTCCCTATTCTCCCCCGCCTGCCTGCCATCCCTCGCCCTTCCCCCAGCGGTCAGGTTCCGATGCCTCGCCACATCAGCTGACATCCAGTGACTGGAAGAATCTAGGCGACTTTTGAGTAGACATGATCAAAACGCGATTGCGATTTAAATCGCATCGCATGCTGGTGAAATGTTTAAAAAACCGATGCGATTTTAAATCGCATAGCGCGATTTAATTTTCTTCAAAAAAAATATCGCACATCGCATTTTGACCGCGATGTAATAAAAAACCGCATGCGGTGTTTTATAAAATCGCATTGCGTTTTTTGCGTTTTTTAGAACAGGTCTACACATGATGACAAAAAAGGCGACTTACGAAAACCGTGAACAACGGTGGGTTTAGTAGAGGTCGGAAGCGTGTGCAAAGCCCTAAAACTTACTCCCAAACGGTTTCAGCAAAGGAGATTTCGAGAAATGCGTTTTGGGGCTTTGCAATTTCGCGCTGCGATGCATTTCGACATCGCACGATTTAAATTAAATCGCATATCGTGTTTAAATCGTGTTTTCCTGCGCGATAAAAGCGCGATATCATTTTAATCGCACGATGAAAAAAATCATCGCATCACGCGATGATTTAAAAAAAAATCACCATCGCAAAAATGCGATTAAATGCGATGCGATGCGATTTAATTTGCTCGTCTACTTTTGAGTCGACTCAAATGTCACATCAGCTGACATCCAGTGACTGGAAGAATCTAGGTACCTTTTGAGTTGACTCAAAAGTCACATCAGCTGACATCCAGTGACTGGAAGAATCTTTTCTCACCTTCATTCCTTTACCTTCCCTCCCCTCCCCTCCCCTCCCCTCCCCTCCCCCAGCGGCCGCGTTCCTTGGCTTCGTCACATCAGCTGACATCCAGCACCGAGCAAATTTCTTCCACCCCTCTTCTATAATTCCCCTTCTTCTTCTCCCCCCCGGTTCCCTTCCTTCCTCCCTCCTCTTCTTGATCACCCAAGTGGTCATGTTCCTGCACTTTGTCACATCGGCTGACATTCAGCAGCGGGTGAAACCCGCTCACCTTCTCCCCTTGATTCCTCTTCCCCTCCCCCCCACTCTGTCCCCGTTGCCTCTTCCCCTGCCCCCTACTCTTTCCCCTCTTCCCCTCCCCCCCACTCGTTCCCCCTTTCCTCTCCCCCCTGCCCAGCGGTCATGTTCCTGCGCTTTGTCACATCGGCTGACATCCAGCAATGGGTGAAACCCGCTCACCTTCTCCCCTTGATTCCGCTTCCCCTCCGCCCTACTCTTTTCTCTTTTTTTCCCCCCTACCCCAGCGGTCATGTTCCTGCGCTTCGTCACATCGGCGGACATCCAGCACCGGGCGGACGTCTTACATCCCTTCCTTCCAGACTCTATGGCTGCCGTGGGCGGCCCAAAAGAGACAGCGAAACACGTGAGTGAATGCTCTGTTGAGGCAATGGGGAAGGAGAGCGACCATGTGCACATCACAGCCATCACAGCCATCATAGCCATCACAGGCATCACAGGCATCACAGGCATCACAGGCATCACAGCCATCACAGGCATCACAGGCATCACAGGCATTACAGCCATCACAGAAATCACAAACATCACAGACATGATCAAAATGCGATTGCGATTTAAATCGCATCGCACGGGGGTGCGATTTAAAAAAATGCGATGCGATTTAAAATCGCATCGTGCGATTTAATTTCGTAAAAATTTTAAATCGCACATCGCATTTCAAGCACGATTTCACTTAAACCGCATGCAATGTTTATTTAAATCGAGCGATGCAATTTTAAATCGCATCGCATTTTACGTACATTTAAAAACACCTCAGAAAACTGGATTAAAAAAAAAAACCAACACTGATGGAAATTTGGATCAAGGGCAGTCGTGGGCGGTAGTTAAGATAAATAATTTGGTTCAGTAGTGGGTTTAGGACAGGTGCGAGGCCCCATGGTATTTCGAAATCTCACGCGATTAAAAAAAATCGCAAATCGCATTTTAATCGCGATTTTCAGCGCGATTAAAACACGATTTGAATTAAATTGCACGATAAAAATATCGCATCGCGCGATGAATAATAATAATAAAAAACATCTCAATCGCAAAGACGCGATTAAAAGCTATGCGATGCGATTTAATCTGCCCATGCCTACATCACAGGCATCACAGGCATCACAGGTATCACAGCCATCACAGCCATCACAGGCATTACAGCCATCACACCCAGTTGCATACATGGTACATGTCCTCATTGTTTACCTTGCGCCCCTCTGCCTACCATTCCCCTGGTGGTGTTTCTCCCTTGTGTCAGTTCTGCCACAAGGCGATAGAACAGATGGATGAGGAGAGCAAGCATGTGCACCAGTGCCAAATGCCCCACTCATACCTATTCAAACCCCCCCTCCATCCCCACAACAATCCAATTTCACCAGTTCTGCCACAAGGAAGTGGAGCCGATGGGCGAGAAGAGCGATCACGTGCACATCACAGCCATCACCGATGCTCTCGCCATACCCATCCGGATCGTTTACCTTGACCGCAGTGCCGGGCAGGCAAACTTTCACGAATTTCTGCCCGAGGAGAGTGTAAGGGCTACGCCTGCCATGACACTGCTGTACAGACCGAGGCACTATGACATTCTGTACCCAAAACAGAAATAAGAATGCTGTAATTATCCTTTATGAAGAAGACAGCTGCTGCCGTCTTGCTCGGCATGGGCGTGTTACTGGACAGTGTTGTAACGGTAACGCTCCGTGCTTTAAATATCCACATTCTCTTTTGTTGTAAAGCAAAGCGACCCTTCAAACAAAGTCAGTCTATCCAGCAAGAGGTGTCATGCCCGTTTAAGGGCCTTGTGAGCAACAGAAACAGGGATCATCCAAAGAGGTATCGTCTTAAACACGCTCTAAACAATATGTATCTCCATCTTATTTACAAATCGTTGCGCAATGACTTAGTTGCTACTGCATCTTGCATGCTGAAGTGTGGCACTCATGATTACTGTATGCATTCACAACGATCTCCAGTATTCCACGGTCTTGTCACGGCATCCCTGTCAGCCTTCGCAGCAGCGTCTCCGACCAGTAAATCGACAGCACCAGGCACACCGCCGCCGGCACTGCCACAAAGAGAAAGACAGCCAGGTAGCAGAGCAGAGCCAGCGAGCACCAGGGCACGATCACAAAGCTCACCACCGCCAGCACGCCCAGGAACGGCAGCCGTGTGCACAGCTGCTGTAGCCGGCCCAGATAGTATTTCACACCGTTGATGAATGAGCGGATGAATGGGAACCATTGGATCGCCCGCTCCAGCAGCCACATGGCTAGCTGCTGCCGACTGGAATACAGCAGGTGATGGAAACCTGCTCCCGCCCCCCCCTGCCCCTGCCACCGCTGTGCACCGCATGCCCGCATGCCCTCATGCCCTAATCGCGACTTCCCAATCACTCTCTAGAATTGAGCCGCAAGGAAGAACAGGGGAGATATAGCGTTTGGGTTGTACCCACTACAAACATACCCTATCTAGCCTATAACTTCTAGAGATATAGCCTATCTAGCCTAACAATATATGTATTAGTTGACAGAAAGACCTTGTCTAACTAAAACTACAAAGTTGGGGCTCACTTGATACTTGCATTTTTCTTTCAGGGCAAAAAGCATTCCGTCTTTTTGTAGTGCAAGTGCGCTTGTATTCCCCATTTACACATAAGCACACCCCCTTTATTTTGAAGAGTTGTTCCATATCCATGTCTAATTTGAAAATCCAGTAAACAAGCCTCTTTTTTTTTCTTGGTTGCGCATCAACCTATCACAATTGATCAGAACCCTAATTTTCACCCTAATTGTCTAATCTAAAAAAAAGGATTTTTTTTTTAATTCCGTAAGAAGCGTAATATACACTGAACAGGCATATAAAAATATTGACCGTACCGTAGGTGTTATTGTGTAGCTGCTTTTTTTTTAAGACCAAGACAATAATAATGTTACGAGAGCTAGGTAGCTAGGAACGGTAGGAAGCCATGAAAATGGCGAGAGGGTTTAGCTAGGAGAAGTTATGAGTGAAAAGAGGGAGAGAATGGAAGAGAGAGGCATACAAGGAGGGGGGTTGTACCCCCTACATTTGGTTGCAGTAACACCTATCAAGCCTACCAATTATGTAACAAAATATATAATTTAACACACCCCCTAGGCTTGGTAGTAACAAGCCCACACACACCCACACCCCCTATCCTAGCCCGCCCATTCCCAGCAGCAGCTGCGATGAATCCGGAATCGGTCAACACCCACGGCCCCGGGAGATGGCAATAGCGGCAATCGCGGCACTGATGAGAGCGACGATGGCGGCGGCGTGCGGCGGCAGCAGGACAGCGGCAACAGCGGCAGCGTCGGCGGCTTCAACGTCAGAGGCGAGTGCAGTGGCCCCCGCCCTCTCGGCGGCATGGCCAATCTCATTGGCTGTGGAGAAGGCCCTCACGAGGCAGTCCATGGCTGTGGGAAGGAAGAGGGGGCGCAGGGGAAGGAGGGGGGGGGGGGGGGGGGGGGGGGAGGGGGGGAGGGGGGAAAGGGGGCTGGCGTGGTACAGAATCATGCCCGTGGCTGGCGAGCGGGCGGCAAGTCTAACGGCGCCACAGGCGTTTGCGGCCGGCTGCAGCCCGACGACGCTGTCACAGAGCGGTGTCGATGCCGCGACGGCGTGACACCACGGCAGCCCGTCGCCACAGCCGCGGCACGACACGGCCAACGGCACGATGACGTCGCCACAACAGCACGACGGTGCCGTCACGCCGCCACTGCTGGACGTCGACGCCACGACGGCGCGACGCCACAGCAGCGCGTCGAGACGGCCGCGGCACGACGATGCCGCCACAGCAGCACGACGCGGCCGCCATGGCAGCGCGAGAGGGAGAGAATGAGTGCGCGGCGGAAGCGTAGGGAGCCGGGAAGGGCAACCTGCTCTGTTACCATGTCACTGGAGCTAGGTAGCTAGGAACGGTAGGAAGCCATGAAAATGGCGAGAGGGTTTAGCTAGGAGAAAGTTACGAGTGAAAAGAGGGAGAGAATGGAAGAAAGAGGCATACAAGGAGGGGGGGTTGTACCCTCTACAGTTGGTTGCAGTAACACCTACCAAGCCTACCAATTATATAACAAAATATATAATTTAACAAATAAATATTGGAAAACAAATCGATGTACAATATTTGTTTTCTGTACTCTGTATTTGTTTTCTTTGTTTTCTTTGTTTTTTCAATGATAAAAGTAAGCTATCCCTTCCCCAAAGCTAGCAAGAAAAGCATGTATCGTAATGTATCATAAAGATCTAAAATATGTGCACACACATATTTTCAGTTGACACACAGATTACAAACAATTGACGAACTAATTGAAAACAAATGTCGATCATTTGTTTCCCACCATTTCCTGTATTTTTTCTTGTTATAGAAAAATGCAACTTATCTATCGCTTCCCTAGTGCTTGCATGGGGGGGAAGTCGATAGAATAGAGACTAAACAACAGAGCTTGTGAATTCCAAAAAGTAAAGTGTGTTAGAATATGAGAATGACTAGAAACAAGGGTGAACAAGGGAGATATAGGGTTGGAGTTGTACCCTCTAAGAACATACACCTATCTAGCCTATAATATCTATATACAAATATATGTATAAATTGACACACCCCCTAGGCTAGATAAGGGGCAGTGCTGAGCAAGAAACACGCAGCTCAGGGTCGCACTACTAGTCCAACCGCTGAGACATGGGTCCGAAGACCAGTCAGCAAGTGTACAAACAAGACCAGAGCAAACCAGGGCGGCACTTCTAGTCTGGCCACTGGAAGAGAGGCGACAAGGCCGGGTTGAAAGGTATTAAGGCACTTAGAGAACTAAGCGACACTAGAGAATCACAGGAGAGCCTTAGCATAAACCAGCGAAGGTTTCTCACACTTTACGTGCCCCACGGATTGAACCCAGAACCTCTCCCACCGAAGGGATTCAGTTAGCCCTTGAGGAAGTACCGCAGCTAAATGTGCTTTGCTCTGCCCTCGAGTCCAAGCTCTTGACACAGGAGGATCATGGCCCTGTTGTCAGCGTACAGAAGCGGGGCAGAGCTAGCCGTCTCTCACTGAAGTTGGAGAGTAGGAAGGTCAGCCAGCGGAGCTCCTGTGCCGCCATGGCACCGGCATAGGTCTCAGCCTCATAGCTAGACTGGGCAACAGATGAGGAGCGAGTGGACCTCCACGAGACGGCACCTGAACCAAGACTAAAGCAGTAGCCCTGAGAGGACCTGAGGGTCTCAGCGTCGTCTGCCCAAGAAGCGTCTGTGTGCCTAGTAAGGACCACTGGCCTACATCCTCCCAGCACTAACCCCATGCCTGATGTACTTGCTAGATAACGCAAAACCCTCTTAGCGGCCGACCACTGCTGTGGTCGGTGTCTGCCTGTGGCCACAAAACGAGCTAGGATGCTTAGAGGGTATGCGAGATCTGGACGTGTGCAAGTCATCAGGTACATAAGGCAACCCACCAGCTCTGCGTAAGGACTACTGGGCTCTACTGACTCCTCTGGAACTTGAGCTGAGAGCCTGTGGTCTACTGGCAGAGATGTGGACTGTGTGGAGAAGAACTGAAGACCAAACCTCTGAAGGACCTGGCGCACCAAGTGTGACTGTGTGAGAGTAATGGTGCGCGTTGCTCTGTCCTCGGAGATCTGCAGGCCAAGGTAGCGGTGCAGTTCTCCTAGGTTAGTGCAAGTGTGTCTCCTCAGCAGCTCGGCCTTCACGGAGGCCAGTGCATCTCTGTCTGCAGTAGCGAAGACCAGGTCGTCTACATAGACAAGGATGTAGAACGGGGCCTGGCCAGCACGAACGAAGAGCGAGGGGTCTGTAGAGGACGGAAAGAACTGCAGGTTAGCAAGCGTAGCACGCAGCGTGCCGTGCCACTCACGGGGCGCTTGTCGCAGGCAGTAGACCAAACGCCAGAGGAGCCACTGCGTCCCAGGAGGGAAGGTACCGGTGAAGCCCTGTGGACGGCGCAGGTAGACCTACGCATGTAGATTGTGCTGGAGGAACGCAGTGGAGAAGTCGAGGGAGTGTATTTCGTAGTCACGCAGTGCTGCTACGTGTAGCAGCGCCCAAAGAGTAGTCATCTTCGGGGTCGGGGAGAAGGTCTAGAAGAAGTCCACCCCCTCACGCTGACTGAAGCCTCTAGCCACGTAGCACGCCTTGAACGTAGGCGACTCTCTAGGGGGGCGCTTCACGTTGAAGAGCCACTGGCCATCGACTACGTTCACCCTAGGTAGGGGAGCTGCGTCAACGTAGGTGCCGGTGGATCTCCAAGATGCCATCTCCTGCTCCATCGCAGCTATCCACTGAGAGGCCCAGGGTCCCGAAGTCACCTCAGTGTAAATGCAAGGGGTCGGGTTGTCAAAGGCGTCCAGGTCACCCTCAGGGACTAGCAGCATGGAATTGAGATGAGGAGCAGCCTCAGATAGGAAAGCAAGCTCGTACTCCCTGTCCTCTAGGATGTCACTGCCAAGGGCAGGCGCACCCCCGACGGACGGAGGACAGACAGGGTCAGAGACTAGAGCGGTGGCGTAGTCAAGGCGGTGAATAGAGGCGAAGTTAGCAACAGCTGCGACAAGAGCATCAAGACTGGAGACAGGAACAGACGTGTCGATAACGAGGGAGGCAAGGACCCGGGGAACAAGAGGACGAGCAGCACAAAGGTAGTCAGACAGAGGGGGAGGCGCGACAGCGAGTGACGACGGAGGAGGCAACGGCAGGAGGGGAGGACGAGACGCGTGGGAACGAAGCAACATAGGGTGAGAACGCTGAACAAGAGAGACAGGACGAGACTTAGAGACAAGCTTACAGGGAGAATCAACCTTATGCTGGACTGAGTTACATGGCTAGCTGCGATAAAGACGAGCATCGTGAGAAAACATGTGAAACATAAGTTAGATAGAAACTCCAATCAACAAATGCCTTCAACCCCAAAGACGGATTAGCTCATGAACCTGCCGATAAGAAGGACAATTGTGAACAACAACTGTCACTTACGAGCTGCTTATCAGGAGATTAAAATGATAGAAACAAAAGTTATAGCGAAATGACATACTCAACTTATGGTAAACCAAGAACGACCATGGTAACTGGTTTAAGTCTGGCAGAGGAAGAAGCTAATCACTAAGGGGTTGCAAAGGCGAGAGGGGGAGCTGAAACTGATACAGATTGAATCGCCGGT